CTCCTAAATCACTCGTACGCACAACTTAAGAACAAATCTGTGCGTACAAACGGTTCTTGCATGAGGCCCACTGTCTTTCAATGTGATGTCGTCCAAAGAGCTGTCCACAACAGGTAAGATATTGTTTACAATCCTTTACACAGAACCTAACTTTAAAAGATCTAAGCGGTTCTTTTAACCGTTTACTAGTCTACAAAATCCCATAACTATTAAAAAAAACTTCTAAACAGGAAATCCACACAAGATGAGTTGTGTAAACATTAAATAATCAAATTTTGTCTTGTGGAGTGGCACCAAAACCAAAAGCCAGGACAGAATTTCAGAAAATTTGTTATGTTGCGGTCATATTGAAATTATTTGACAAACACTCCAATAAGGGAGTTGGGGAATCACTTTTTGCTATATATAAATCTACTTTAGTTTAGCTTAGTTTTTATTATTATTTTTTTTCTTATTGAGAATTATTGTCACTATTGAGATATTATGAATATAACCTCCTGAGACCCTGCACCCTATTGTTAGGATATTAAGTTTAAGACGGGTTGTTATTAGTCAGAGGGACTAAATGTTAACCTTTATTTTGATTTAATTGTTTGTTTTAATCCTTATTTTCTCAAAAACAACATTTGTTTGTATGTTTATGAGGTTCTACTAATYGTAAATAACTAGGGGAAACTAAAAATGACCAACAAGAAAAAAAATTGGACTTGAGTATAAAACAGTCTGGTCAAKGGGGTCCAATTGGGGGAGGTCACTAAATGTTTAGGTGTGGACATTGGCCCCCACTGGCCTCTCCTTCGTGTCGCCCCTGCCAAATCAWAGCAAAGGTTTGATTTGAATTAGAAAAGTTTACCCAAATCTCCACACTTAAAGCTGACAGCTCTCTGTCCCTCTGCTGCTTAGTCAAGTTGTTGCTTCTTTCTGCTTCTCCCTSCAACATTCTGTTTCCCCCCGAACCAGAGCTGATGTCTGAGCTCCCTGGTGCCTGTCATATCATGAGGGGCAATAACCCGTGAAATAACTGTTCTCTTCTTCCCCGCTCTCCTCCTCTCCATCCCGGTGTCCCCTCGTTTCCCCCCTCTTCGTTCTCCTCCTCTCGCCTTGCTCGCGCCGTGCCACTCCACGCTCCACTTAGCAGCTGGGCCATGAAGACGCTCGGCATGTGCACGCTTACATGGGAAATACATATTTTGCTGGGGTTGGACAGCACACACGGGTGCCGTGTAATATCACATGAGGACGGTGAAAACGCTAAGTGGAGGTTCTGCAGCCTCTCTATGTGCATGTGTGAAACAGATCCGGCTGCCTGTGCCCCGCTCTCCGGAGAGCTGATCAGTCCTATTCCTGGGATGAGTAGACACTCCCAAGGCAAACACTCCAGATTTAATTATAAGCTCCAAAGAGGATTAGTCTGCACTACTTGTGTGTCTGTGTACCAGGAAGAGTGGAGGAAACACAAAGGGAGGAAGTGGTGAGAACKTATCCCTTCATTTCTAGCGCTGAAGGATAAAACAGATAAAGTCATCTCACCTGGGTGGTGCAGTGTAATCCAGGTCTGTGTCCTCGTACCGGGGTCTCGATCGGGATTCGGCTCCTCTGGGTGACACCTGAAAGCAAACATGAGGAGGTAAGATTTTTAGGCTAGAAATATTTCATGTTCAAACAGTGTGTGTGTGTGTGGTGGGGGGGATCCAAATGCCCTGAACTCATAACTGCCTCACTGGAAGTAATTTAGGCAGGGAGTAAATAAAAAAATGTGTTAATGGATCTGTATTCAAACACCACGGCCTTCGGCTGCTTGTTTAACCTCCATAATATTTCAGCAGTCCACTGATAACCAGTGAATGCATATTTAGAGTGTTTTCATGTGCAGCCTTGAGGTCTAAAAAGGATCCCATTTGTGCTGCAGCACTACGTGTGCTGCTGCTGCCACACACACACACACACACACACACACACACACACACACACACACACACACACA